ATTCGTTTCCATTCATCTCATCACTCATACCTCCTCAACCCCCATTCATTTCCATTCATCTCATCACCCACACCTCCTCAACCGCCATTCATTTCCTATGCCCTTTTCATTCCAACCCATTCCCACCTCATGCTCCTACCTGCACAACATGATTCCTCATATCATCCATGCCAACCTCCATTCCTCAGCACACCCAATAGCCCTTAATTGTCTCTATGTAAACCAAATGCTAATTCATAACCACATATGCCCCTTACCCTTTGCCCTTATACTTACCAGGCCAACTCATCTAGTATCCACCATGAGCATACCTCAAAACCCATGCTAAAATTAAATAAAGTAACATCTATTGCAAACTTTTAAAATTGCTCATTCACAAATCACATTCACTTTCCTTCATCTACATAATCATTGTAAGAATACTTACTTATTTCAAGCAAATAATCCTATAAAGACAAATACTGGAATTCCCAGTCGTACTTCAAAGAATCTACAATTGCTTGGAGCTGTCAACCAGGTTGTGAAATGGCAGGCACCGTGCTGTGAAAATGGAAGGCTGTGACATCAGTCATGTGGCACTTATAAATGTTAGCTCTCGGGTTTATGTCAACAGAATGAAACATCAAGTAATGCATTGTTCTAACATTGCAAACAGACTTTATTTTCAAGTATTTAATGACTTTGGACAGTTCCAAAGAACTTCACAGTTCCACTGAATTTATGCACATTTCATGCACGCTCATGCCTACATTTAACAATCCCAAAATGGCACTTCACGTCCTCAAATGTTGTCTTGAGGCCATATTATTGTCCGTATCTTAGGTCTCCAAAAGAGTACGTTGGCAATGCAAATAAATCCGAAATGATCTGATTTGCTCCTGTCAGGTTTAATCTGTGCACGTCCTGCTTCAAACACCTCAGTCAGCGAAATCAAATATGAATGGAGACAAGCCGTTGATTTATTTGGGCAGCTATCTTCACAAAACATGAATGTGCAAACCATAACCTACTGCCATCACCCTGATACCTTGTCCCCATACATGCGTTATTGTAAAAATCCGTGTTTTGGTCTTGCTTTGAAAGTCTCTTAGCCAACCTGTTCCAAAATGGGCCAGAAAGGTATTATTCTCCGATCATGACAGTAAGTTCCTTCAGCCTAGCTTCACAGAAACTGGCAGTTCAAAATGATGAAACATAGGAATGCAAAGTATGGACTAATGCACAGATTTAACAAGTTCCACTTTCATGGAAGAACTCCAAGGAAACTAGTTATCAAGACCTGGTTCATTTGAAACAACTACATCCTGCAGTAATTAATCACATTTTTAATCTCCTTCAAACAGTGATCAACAAAACGCTGAAGTTTCCAAAAGTCCAGTTCCTTCAGAACAGCTCGATAACATCCAGGAGCTCTTGATTAGAAACCTTTATCGAATAAGGCAAACGGTATGAAAGCTTATTTAATTTGTAATGTAATGTTAAATACACCAAGACTCCAGCTTTCACTGATTTGATCCTTTGGTTTTCGCCCCATCAGAATGATATGAGTGTGATTTGCAGGTAACAACCTGATTGACCCTTTGTGGTGCAGTGCTAGTGTGTCTACCTCTAGGCAAAGTGACCCAGGTTCAAGCCCCACCTACTCCAGAGGTGTGTAATAAAAGTTTGCAACAGACTGAGTCGAGAATATCAATAGCAGCTTCAAAATGTTCCTGTGGTTCATACGTTTGTTTGTTAATGTTATAGAATGCATTCAACAGTGTTATTTCCACATTTACGGGAGCTTTCCACATTAGATACTATTTGAGTTCAGTGTCACTGACCTGTTCATTAAGTTGTCCTTGCCTATTATTAAACATATTTGTAGAATGCACATCCTGTTGGCCAGACATTGTAGATCACTCATTCAATTGCACAATTTTCATTTTTTTTTTCATTATTCAGCCTCAGGACCTGGGTGCTGCTAGTAAGGCCACCCACGGTTACCCTGAGAAAGTGACGATGGGCTACGTACTTGCAGTATTCTGCTGGAGCTAATAAACATAACTGAGTGGCTAGCAATGTCATTTTAGAAGTTGGTCAACTAGATTGGATTTGGACAAGAAGCAGGCTTAAGCCAGACCACATAAATATGGATATTTGTGAACCACTTGGATTTTTATGACAATTCTACAGCTTCATGGTTATTTTACACATATTAGCTTCAATTACCAGAATATATTTTCCCAAAATAATTCCTATTAAACTGGTCCAGTGAGATTTGAATTCAAAATTTCCAGATTATTCATCCAGACTTCTGGATGACCAATACAACAAACAACCACAATGAAAGTTTCAATAAAATCTGGATAGTTTCTATAGTGGGCTGTCGATTTGCAATCTCAAATGTAGATCTCAGAGAAAAAGTAGAAAGTCTACCTTATTGTGCCTCTATAAGTTTAGTAGATTCAGGGAGAACTCTTTTGATGCTTCAAAACAGTTTCTAAATTTGAATGTATAGTTAATTACATTGAAGATCAGCTGGTGTGATGTAAAACCTTGGAGCATCAAGCCAACATATGCTTCTGCTGACAGCTCTCAAGCTAAAATAGATTCTTGAAAAATAGTTGCTCACCTCAAATATATCAAAGTGATGTTACAGAGCTAATAATCCAACTCCAGCTCCCTGCCAGCTCTCAGCCTTTTGCGACAAGCGCAGTGTTATACATCAGTCAATGATTTTACCATCTTTTGAAGATACAATGTGGTGAAGAGCAGCTACATCTCTAATAATTACAGAAGATTAACAACGATTCAAAAGGTCTGAGTTACCCAGATGTTTCTTCACTAAGATAAATAGCATTTCACAGCTACTCAGCATGGATCCAGCAAGCATGTCAAACTGACTAATTTATATAAACTGGAATGGTTTGATTCATCTCTAATAATTTTGATATTCTATTCCGTGAATCAACACCCAAATTGAGATGGAAATGAAGCCACATAAGAAAGATTGCTCTGAAGTAGGCACACATCCACTTTCTGTTGCAGTGTAAATGTTAATTTAACTGCAAAAAGCACAAAGGCATCTGACATTTGGGAACATCATGATATGTAGGTTCTCCTCCAAGTTACATAGCATGCTGATTTGGAAATATATCTCCATTCTTTCATCACCACTGCGTCAAAATCTTGCTTTATGCCTCACTGGGGTAGTGCACTGGAAATCAAATCCTGCTATTCCCCAGGTCATCACAAAAGTTAAAGCTTTAGAAAGTCTGCAAATGCTCCCAATTTACCTGTCTTTCAGAGCCAGGTTGACATAAAGCACAGACCTGGTTTCTACACTTAACAAGAATTACTAATTATCAGAAATAACCAGGAGTGGCTCAGTGTTAGCACTGCTGCCTGATAGCACCAAGGATCCAGGTTTGATTCCACCCTCAGGAACCTGTTTGTGTAGATTTTGCACATTCTCCCCGTGTCTGCGTGGGTTTCCTCCCAGTGCTCCAATTTCCCCCCACAGTCGAAAGATGTGCAGGTTAGGTGGATTGGCCATGATAAATTGCCCAGAGTTCAGGGATGTGTAGCTTAGGTGGATTATGCAAGATGGACCTGGGTGGGATGCTCTGAGGGTTTCTGTGGTCTTGTTGAGCCGAAGGGCCTGTTTCTACACTGTAGGTGTTGTATGAAATATTTAACTACAAATAAACAATTATGAATTATTGATATATAATTCTACTAATTAAGACTAATCAATTTATAAAACATATACATACAGACAGAGATAGTAGGAACTGCAGATGCTGGAGTCTGATGAAGGGTCTAGGCCCGAAACGTCAACCTCTCTGCTCCTATGATGCTGCTTGGCCTGCTGTGTTCATCCAGCCCTGCACCTTGTTGTCTTACATACAGACAGAGACAGACACATAAAAAAAGATGTTGGGAGTAGAGGGAAAGACTGGGAAAGTACTTCAGGGTTTCTTGCCCATAGCGTTCGCTGAGATTATTCCTTTGCTGATCCTTGGACTTCCTTCTCGAGATACTTCCATGTGTTCAAGTAAAACTTAATGTACTCATATTGTGCCTGTTTGAATTCAATAAAACCAGTGACAGTCATTCTCTGGTTCATTTCTAAGGGTAATGTCTTGATCAATCAGTGTCAACAAACTTGGTTTAAAATGTAATCAACACTGACAGTTAACTGTCAATCATCACCAAACTGGTACATTCTACATGACAATATTTCAACTCATCTGAGTCCGTTTGCCGACCAATCAGTGTTATGTTTTAATACAGTATAAATCTTGTTTTCCATTTACATCGATATATCAGGAGGCTTGTCCTGTTGAGTGCAAAATGAAAATCTACAACGAACCAAGATGGCAGCAGAGTAGGCCCCTAAGCCAGAGTTCATCCTTTCTGTCTGTTTCTTTTTCTTCTTTTTTCTCTTTCCCATATTTATTTTTCCTTTTTTTTTCTTTCATTGTTTCTCTCTACTTACCTCCATTCCTCGAATGGCATCGGTGGTGGAGAGGTAAGCCAGCGCGGCATTGAGGGACTCCCGGCCTTGAGGTGAAGCCCAGCACGGACCCCCGGCCTTGAGGTGAAGCCCAGCACGGACCCCCGGCCTTGAGGTGAAGCCCAGCACGGACCCCCGGCCTTGAGGTGAAGCCCAGCACGGACCCCCGACCTTGAGGTGAAGCCCAGCATGGACCCCCAAACTTGAGGTGAAGCCCAGCACGGACCCCCAAACTTGAGGTGAAGCCCTGCACGGACCCCTGACCTTGAAGTGAAGCCCAGCATGGACCCCTGGCCTTGAAGTGAAGCCCAGCGCAGACCTCCAGCCTCGAGGTGAAGCCCAGCACGGACTCCTGGCCTCAAAGTGAAGCCCAGTGCAGATCCCAGCCTCGAGGTGAAGCCCAGCATGGACCCCCGGCCTCAAGGTGAAGCCCAGCACGGACCCCCTGCTTTAGAAATACTGTAATGCTGTCCTGTTACCGTTATTTATTTATTTATTTTTCTAATTTATACCTAAGATTTTGTATCTAGGTGCCCTTGTACATAAAATGGCGCCTGAATTGGCGACTTTGTACACTTTTCACTGTACTCACATATAGGCCCTCCACTTGAGTACATGATACCATAAACCTAACTCTAATTCCAAAATGTCTTTTTTTCCAGTAATATTAAATAACTAATAATTAAAACTCATTGTCCAATGATGTTCTCTGAAGTTCCCAAGTGAATCCTCCCTGTTCGTGTCAAAAGTCACTCTTGTAGCAAGTTGTTTGTAGAAAGCTCATCACCTGCATTGACTCCGAAACTCCTGTGGACTAAATTTAATTTAATCTACAGCATTACTTTAATTCCATCACTAAAATTAGGTGCCCCATTTGAAATGATTAGACTTGCCAAAATGTCACTTGAAGACTCTTCAAGTTGAGTAGCTAATGCACAAGGATTACCTGTAACGCAGAAATCCAAGAATATGTGAAAGCCATTTCTCTGTAATTAACTCGTGTTGTTCAAGGTCATGGTTCTGAAAGTTTAATGTTCATGTTACACTGATTCAGCCAATGTCACACATAGTCAGTGGGTGGAGAGGAGACAATGAATTTTAGTCTAGCTTTCAGAGGGAGCAGATCTAGCTCTACTTGCTTCATGAGGTTCTAGTAACTTTGATAAGCTAAATGTAGTTGTACTTATTGCAATCATGCAATATAGCTTATTATATAAAAACAGTGTCTCTTCTACAGATGTTCTACAGTAATATTTCCTCCATCATTAATCACTGGATAGACCCAAGGAAAAACAAAGACAAAAATAAATTGGTAACAGCCAATGATCTCAAAAATCATTCCTAATAATATTTTTGTGCTGTCTAAATGAGATGCATGGATTTGATTTATTTTAATAAAAACGAAAAGAACTGCGGATGCTGTAAATCAGGAACAAAAATGGAAGTTGCTGGAAAAGCTCAGCAGGTCTGGCAGTATCTGTGGAGAAAAAAACAGAGTTAACATTTCAGGCCCGTTGACCCTTCCTCAGAACTGATGGTAGCTAGGAAAACATCAGTTTATATGCAGAAAATAGGGAGGGAATTGGGGTAGGGAGTAAACGATAGGATACTTCTCTGAAGAAAGAGAAGAGCAGTTGGATAAACAAAGGAGTTGATAACAATCTGGCTCGGAGGGTGAAGAGTTGTTAATTGGGACTGTTCGTGACTAACAATAGGTAATGTGTAATAGCAAGCTATGTGGTAACAAGGCCTGGTGTGTGGGGTAGGGGGCTAGGACATGGGAGAGTTTAGGCCCTAAAATCATTGAACTCGATATTGAGTCCAGAGGGCTGCAGGGAAAATGAGGTGTTGTTCTTCCAGCTTGCGTTGAGCTTTGTTGGAACACTGCAGCAAGCCAGAGACAGAGATGTTGGCCAGGGAATGGGGTGGTGTGTTAAAGTGGCAGGCAATGGATAGCTCAGGGTCTTTTCTGCGAGCAGAACGTAGATGTTCTGCGGAGCAGTCACCCGGTCTAGACTATTAACAACTATTTGTTATCCTCTCCTATCCTATCCCCTCTCCCTATCTGCTAAATAAAAACCAACGTTTCCCCAGCTACTGTCAGTTCTGAGGAAGGGTCACCGGACCCGAAATGTTAACTCTGATTTTTTTCTTCACAGGTGCTGCCACACCTGCTGAGCTTTTCCAGCAACTCTTGATTTATTTGAAGATTGCTGGTGAGTTTATTCGCAGCTGAACTAATATATGCGGTCTAGGGTAATCTCCAGTCACAGCCTGTGCTTCTGCAAAGGTAATAACATATAACCTTTACCCATTACCACATACTGGTGGAGGTGGGCAATACCAAAATGTATCAGCGGGTAGTCATCCGGAAATCAACAGTAGCCACCCAAGTACCTCTGCTCTAATCTTATCATGGATTAGTATTTATCAATTTCCCCATCCATCTATTTGATTCCAGCATCTGCAGTTCTTGCTATCTCAATTTGATTAGCCTCTCTCTTTTACTGATAAGGCTAAGTGACTTTGGTGCTATCCAGATATGCACAGTGTTTTGAACTAACTTCAGCAGCAACTTCAGATGAGGGATAGATATCTGGTTATCTTTGAATATCCGAAAGATGTTATTCAAGTTGTACCACTTCACTATTAATTTCACACATCTGGCATTTTGCCCTAAGCCTGCCTTTTTATTTTGAAGGAATTTGCTGAGTAATTTCGCATTCAACTCACCATAGAAAGTTAAGCCTTGTTACGAATGTAACTAAAACCCGAAAGAACTGCGGATGCTGTAAATCAGGAACAAAAACAGACGATGCTGGAAAAGCTCAGCAGGTCTGGCAGCATCTGTGAAGAAAAATCAGCATTAACCTTCCAGTTCCAGTGACCCTTCCTCAGAACTCAGGATCCGAAACTTTAACTCTGATTTCTCTTCACAGGTGCTGTCAGACCTGCTGAGCTTTTCCAGCAAGTTCTGTTTCTGTTACAAATGTAACTGCCCTTCTAACAGTGCAGGTACGTGTCAATGACTGTTAATGTGCCTATCTGGCACTGAAAATCAACTATAAGGTGATGCCCCATTCCTCCTTATTTTGAATTTTTCCGGGCGATTTTACAGATGCCAAACTTTAAGAAACATTAATGTTTCCATTCTATCCAAATTTTCTTTCTCCCTTAATCTGATGTTGCTTTTCTATATTCCTTTTCTTTGCAGCTGATTTAACATTGAATTCACTCCCTCTGTACTTCCTTATTTATTATTAATTTGATCTCATGGTAGGGTAGGTACACTTATGCTTGTCATATTTTTTCAGAACCAACATGCCCTGTGTCTCCTGCTTTGCCATCATCATCTCACCTACCAAGCAACTTTATGTGCAATATATTTTTGAGCTGAAGGTGTAAGGACAAATGTAACTGATTCCAAAATTTGGCCGATAGGTGAAGTTTTAACATGAGGGAATGGAGGTGATTGGGCAGAACAAATGGACAGAAAATTAATTACGTTAGATGCCCTACCATACAAATCACAGCTATCAGAAATTGAATGTTTCCATTATTGGAGTGCAAAAACCGCCAGGAATGGAAATCTTCCCTCATGGTCATATTCTACTGCATCAACATTGGTGGATCCTGTATTGAGAATCATTGATCCCCTTAACTCAGCCAACTTTGGATTCAAGAATCTCTCATTACCATCCCCCAGCCCATCAGAACTGGCATTGGACCTGCCTGGTCCCTCTGGTTTCCTGTGCAGTGCTCCCAAGCAGGCTTACATTGAAGCCTAGCCTAGCCTAGCAAGAAGGCAAGGAAGCTGTCAATAATGAAAGATGGGTGTTGTTGTGTATGTGGGGAAAATCCACACATTGGATTTCCATCTTGACTGGTAAGGGGAGCAAGGGTTACGCGGAGAAGGCAGGAGAATGGTGTTGAGGAACATACCAGCCATGATAGAATGGTGGAGCAGACTTGATGGGCTAATGGCCTGATTCTGTTCCCATGTCTTATGGTCTGATTATGCTTCAAATGTATCAGAATTTTAAAACTCCCCCACTTCGATTCAAGTATCATTCCTTCAGGCACACAAGTGTATGCTGGACCAAATCTATCATTGGACACCTTCTATTAGTCTGTCATTTTAATTTTGCAAATATTTTCTACTTCAAGTTCCTTTCAATCCATTATATCACTGAATCTGATGATACTTGGCGTGAGTGGTGAATGGAGCCAGAGGAATAACGGTTGTGTGACATAACAAAGTGAGACTTTGATCTATTGATCTTGTTTGAACAGACGCAGTCTTACAACAGACACACCTTGCCGCAAGGAAAAAATTCAAATCAAGCGAAAGAAATTTTTCTGCGTCGCCAGGAAAGTCTGCTGAAAGATGACAGTGTAATGAATTTAATACAGGTATGTTGCATCAGCTGGGGTTTCATTGATAAAATGCTACAAGAATGGTCATTCTGTTTTGTATAATCTGCATTATCATGTTTCTTCTCAGATTATATTTTTTAACTAACATAATCCAGAAGTATCATTTCAGATGTTAGTGTATGCAAGTTGAGGAACAACTGACATTAGTGGAGAAACAAAGAAACATATAACTTAGTCTTTTATGAACTGTGGATGTCCCACAGCATTTCACAGCTAGCGATGTACAATTGTAATGCAATGTGTATCGCAGTGCAGGACACGCAGCAGCTAATGGAGCAAATTCCTGCAGACAGTGATGTGATTGTGACTTGATAATCTGTGTCCATAAGGATTATTGAAGTGTAAGTATCAGTCAGAACACCAGGGATAAATTCTCTGCTCCACTTTGAAGTTTTACCCACCAGCAAGAGCAGCCAGAAACTCGGTTTAACCTTTCCTCTAAAAGGCAGTAACTCTGACAGTAGTGCATTCCCTCTGTGGTTCGCTGAAGTGTCAGCATAGAATTTTGTGCTCAAGCCCCACAGTGGGACATGAACTTACAATCTTTCTAACTCAAAGACAGGAGTGCTACCAATGGAGCCATAGCTAACAGCATATAGTACAAAAAAAAGCCTTTCAGCCTATCATGTCTATAGCAGCTGTTTAGGGGATCTGTACAGTTAGTTACATCCCATGCTCTATTTCCATAGTCCTGCAAAATAAGCCATATCATTTTGGAATACCTTTGTCTGGGATTTCAGTGGGTGATTTTCCCATTTCAATTATGTAGGTTAATGTCTGTTTTAGACGAATGAACAGACATGTCTAAGAACTGTAGTATCTGAGTAATTTCTAATTTTTTTTAATTTGTTGTTTTTTGTTTTTTTTGAGGACTTTTTTTAATCAAGTTTACTGGAAGGGCAATAATTTCTTGTTGCTTTATGTATTTGATTTTGTTTTTGTCTGTTAAAAAACCTGGCAGGAAATTATGGAAAAAAGCATTACTTCTCTGTCACTAAATCTTAATAGACCCTCGCATCTTAGATTCAGAGCAGCTGCTCTTAGTGTACATCAGTTAAATAGCATTATATGTGTGTATGTATAGGGAAAGTTACCGATAGTGACAAATTAATTTCATGAACTTGAATTAATTGGCAAAATGGCCATAGTTACACTATATACATTATAAGTTTTTGAAGGCTTAATGCCTGGCTAATGGTTAAATATAGCAGGACTGGTTAAATTTTCACTGAAATAAAGAATGGCAAGTGATGCTATCCAGTTGGGATTGACCACAAAGTCAAGGGTCGTATGTCAATTCTGGAATCTGCTTCAGCGGCCATCCTAAGATTGTGTGGTCGACCCCTGGAATTACAGCACATTAGCACTATGAGCTAACTAGCTCTGTATCAAGTGAGTGAGAAAGGGACTTCCTGTTTCATGGACAAAATTCTCCAGCTATGATGCAGATACTGTGCTCTCGATGACATCCAATTTCTTAACCTCTTCAGATATTGATTGCTGCTATCTTCGGAGGTGGATGAATTATAGATGACAGAAAATAGGTAGTGAAGGTGAATCCATTAATTGTTCTTTATTTCTTGGCATCACAGAGGAGATCCGTTTGTGTTGCTGGTCAGTCACAGAAGAAAGGCAAACTAGCTCGATCTCTTACAGGTAGGAAATGTTATCCACTGATGTAATTTTTCAAAATGCAAAATAAGAATTCAGAACCTAATATAAAACTATGGATTTTTGCCATTTTTTTTTTGTCTTATCATGGTGCGATGTCACAATGTTAGTTCCCCCCAAGCATGTTATGTTTACTGTAGCACAGGGCTAAAATTAACCATAAACTATCAGCTTATTTTCTGAAGCACGTTGACTTAATCTCAATGCATCGTACTTGATTGAATCAATCCTCGCTGCTTTCACCGTCTCCCTTGAAAACCTGTCTGAAGATTAACCAATCACTCCCTGAAACAATAGCTCCAGTTTTTACAGAGAGGTGGAGGTGGTGGTGTCGGAGAGGCTTCAGAGTAGTTCACTTAGAGTGTATCACTAAGTTGCTGCTTTCTCTCCATGATCTGAGCTAATCTGGGGACCTGCACCAGACTCACAGGGTGCTCCTTCAATATGTAGCACTCGATTTCATGATTATTATTGGACATCAGCTGTCTCAAGTAGAGGTCTAAGCAGGGGAGCCTTTATGCTTCTTTATTCTTAAACCCCTCAAGACCAATGGTGCCAGGAATTAAATAGTGCTTCAGAGAGCCACTCTTTTTGTTAAAGAGTGATTTCCTCATGAGCCAGGAGAATAGTAGCTCTCCTCCAGATCTCTTCAAGAAATCTTGGACCACTTCTGCACTTGATTCATCTGCTCTTCCCCCAATTGCAACTGTGCTGCCACCACTCCCTTGTTGCGTGTCCCTGGTCATAAAATCTTGCTGCCCAAAGTTTTGCTCCCAGCCTTAAATGAGGCAGTATTTGTGCCAGTTTCGAGCAGAAGCCTTGAACTAGGCATGGAAATGTAGCCTGGGATTAAAAGGGGAGGGGAGCAGGCGATAGTCGAGGGGTTAAAGGGTTTGGGGGATGGGGGGGTTAGGGTGACCTTTCAACAGTTTAAGTGATTGAGAACCCGAGTGTCTCTGATTATCATTTCCAGAAGGCTGCTTGCCGGATTGAGAGTGGGGCTGGGAAATTGGGGGACAGACAGGAAGAGAACAGATCAAATAGATTGGGGAGTTAAGGAAAGTGATGATATTACAGTAAATACAAATAAATTGTTGTGGCATAGCTTATGTTCATAGAGCAGACCACGGGAAAGGAGTCTGGGGGTTTAATGATAAAATGTGAAGATCAAATGGTGAGGTCAGGAAATAACTGTTCCTATTCCGCTTCGACAGAATGCAGTCCTCTCCCTCCCCCAGTCCACTTTCCGACTGAGCTCGATTGTTTCCCTCTCCCTCTCCTCCTGCTCCGACAGAACTCGATCCTCTCCCTCTCACACCCCCACTCCAACTGAACTCAATCCACTCCCTCTCCCTCTCCTGCTTTGCCAGTGCTCGGTCCTCTCCCCCTCTCTCTGACCTGAGCTCGATCCTTTCCCTCTCGCTCTCTGACTGAACTTGAACTCTCCCTCCCTCTCCTACTGAGCTTGATCCTTTCCCTCTCCCGCTCCGACTGAGCTCGATCCTCTCCCTCTCCCTTCCTGCTCCAGCTGAGCTCGATCCTCTTCCTCTCCCTT